ATTTCCTCGAGATGCCGGACTCCCCCCGGAGTGTAGTGTGTGTAGCTCACTTGCATTACTGCCGTTTACACTCGTGTCACCAAACACTAAACTGACATCCATGGCCATCCTGTGGTTATCGAAAATTCGCGCTTAACCCATGTTCTCGCTATTGATCAGGTGTTGGCATCTTTTCCATTTATGGTTCCAAGTCTTCATTGGTTAATTGGATTCCATTGAGTGGGCAGGCGACAATAAATCCTGCAGTTTGTTGAGCACCTTGCTAGTGCACTCATCGTCTTGCGAGTTACCTGTTATGTTGAATGTAAGTATGTTTACCCGTATTTATATACCCCTATCGGTCCTAAAGAGCATGAAGTCGTTTGCATACCTACGTGCAGATTAGCAGCGACTCTGGGAACATCTGCTCCTCAGCCACTTGGCACTATTGTGGCGTCAGAGGACGTTTATGCAAATTTCATTTAATGACGTTAGATGGAATTCTTCGGCATATTATTTGGTCATTAAACCGGGGCTAATTACGAACAGTGATGTCGAAACGCATTCAATTTCAAGCGTCACCGATACCTTTCCCGAAGAGGGCTCAACTAGTCGTCGCCCATCAGCTCCTGTGTAAGGAGGATCGAGCCTGTTACTCAAACGAAACCGATGAAGCTCTTACTTCCTTGGTGAAACGGGCTAGGAGTTAAACTGCTTAGCTTCCTTACTCCTTTCAAATTACTTGCTCGCGCAGATCACTAGTTTCATCGGTAATCACACCTACCAGTCGCAATTAGCCTTAAAGTATATTATATATTATCTTATACACAATCTGGGATACAGCTGTTGTGCCATCGGAATCATGATTGTGCCATCGGAATTGCCCTATAGAGCCGGGTCCGACACTCAGAATTTGTGGTACATTACGTTAATCTCCGTTTGCATCGTTTCCACGAAGCTGTCACGAGCCTAGTGAAATATGTGTTAGAGCACTAATAATTGCTAGTGTTTTATTACTCCACACACAACCCTAACTTCTGCCATTTGTTCACCACTGACTATCAGACACATGTGTGCACCAGCTATTATTAATGGTGCTAACGAGACAATACGAGACGCACACGTGTCCAGCTGTCGTCCATTTACCATTTTCCGCTGTTGTTCGTAATTCCAAGCAACGATGTAGAATTCTTTCCTCGACCATCCTGAGATTTCTTCGATTATTCCGCGATTCTGGCGTACCATCCTTTTACTTCTACCGGACGATTCTGCTTTTCAGGGAAGGTGGAGGTGGGGAAGTTTAGGCCTTACTGGATTCATCATCCTCATCACTACACGTTTGCTGAATGTGAGACACACCACAGCTATTGTCCCTTTACACAAGAAGGATATATATATATATATATATATATATATATATATATATATATATATATATATATATATATATATATATATATATATATATATATATATATATATATATATATATATATATATATATATATATATATATAGTATTCCTTGCTTTGGTTCCCTTATTTTGGTTTTTTATATTGTAAGTTTAATTGTTTATTTTATTCCTATATATATATATAGGAATAAAATAAACAATTAAACTTACAATATAAAAACCAAAAACAAGGAATATAACTCTTAGTTTCACATTGTACATTAAGTGTGGGAACATGGTTTGAGGGTGAAGGTGAGCTTCAAAGGGACAAGGAAACTCACCACACAAACGCAATTGGGATCAGTTTCTTGCCATGTCAATAAGCCTATAGAGCAAAACGTGTTCATCTTCTATCAAACTCCAACCCCGCAGTCGCGAGACAACAACCGACACTAAATTCGAAGTAGTAGTCTTCATTCTTCTTAATCAAGTCATCGCTTTGCTTTCCCTCCTCTTACTCCATCCACACTGATTGCGCAAACAGCGTATTTCGAAGTACAGGAGTAAGAGACACAAACTTGAGAACTGCAATTTGGCGATCTGAAGAAGTGCATTTTTAAAGGTTCATTATAGTATCCGAAAAAAGGCTTGCGTAAAACTGTCTACTTTACAGAGTGAGAGCATGCTACTTAGCACACGATGTTTCACGTTATATCGCAGATCGACGTTCATGTGCTATATTTCGTAATTATAAGGCAATTTTTGCATTCGGAAAATCTGATGGTGGAAACAACGTACTAAACAAGGCGTTGCGTGCCTAGTGCAAAATGGTAGGGCAAATGTCCCGATGATATTCCGTCTGTCTACGTTGCTAGGCCAGTTAGTCTGTCGACGTTTTAGGCTCATGTTTTGCTTAGGTTGAATATATTAAAGTGAACGTGTTGTTGTCCATCAGGATACGTCTGGTTATAAGAGGGTTCTCCGTATGCGTTGAGACTCATAGCTGTGCAGGCGTAGGTTCTGCGAATTGATGTGCAATTTAGATCAATCTCTTGGCTTACTTTGAGGGTTTCCGTTAAATAACCTCCACTTCTAAAAGATCTTGCTTTATCGAGGCTTTCTGATCTGGCCTGCACATTCTGCACTGTACCTAAGCACTGACTGACAGACGATTGTGTCACACAAACCTAACGTGCTCCACATTAGATTGACATCTTGACTCTCGGTATTTGTAATCTCAGAGCATAAAAGTTGGTCCTTTACAAGCACACTGTCGAACTCATGGGACACTACATGCTTTACGTGGTCTGAAAAATTGTGTGTGCTATTCGTTCGATACCGAATATGTACCACGGCGCACTTGGGTGCATTATACTTCAACAGTTTTCTGAATGACCAATCATTACCGCTGTCCACGAATTCTCGGAGTTCTTGGTGAACTCTTTAATCCTCAGCCACTGGCCATCATCAACAAAGCCAGTAAGCCTGAGGCGGTCTCACATATAAAGTCATTGAAAAATAATTGAATTGGCGCGATCATAGAACGGTACCTTGTGGAGCTTCACCTTCAATGTAAGTCTGGTCGCGTAAGGCACACCGAACTTTAATCTGCAGTTACCAATACCACAAGAAACTGTTGCTCGATACATGGAAAGACTCTGTGTGTGTGCTTTATTCATTGATAATGTCTGTTGCATTCTATAATTATTTTGGATATTTGGAACGCTAAGGCGCTTGCACTCTGAATTGCGCTGAAATGTATTTACATTCTAATCCAATTATCAGAGTTCAAGTATGCGTGCTTGCTGATCTGAAACATTAACTTGAGACCTAGTATCAAGTGCTACACCGTTTGCTGGAACAGCGCGAAGGCAACTGTCAGATGACGGGAACAACACAACGGAATATATTTCAAAGGTATCAATAGGCCTAAATCGGCGATCGCGCATGTGCTTGCGCCTCACGAGACGTGCTTATACGACACGTGAACCAAGATGATGAGGTAGCCTCACTATGACCATGCGTTGCACTTGTGTGAACGAGCTCGCGGCATACGTAGTGAGCAGGCTAACGCGCAGGCGACATGAAAGTGTTACCCATGACAGGAGGACTCGACATAGGAAAGTATCACATGGGGAATGGTCAGCAACGTTCGGAGTATCAACGGTGATAAGAGACCACTGGCCGTCAGACACATGTTGTCACCAGCTATTGTTACTAGCGCTAACGATGCATTTGGAAGCGAATACGTATCCAGCTGTCGTCATCCTACCCTGATCCACCGTAGTTCGTAATTCCAAGCGACGGTGTGAGAGTTTCTACTCGCCCATTCTGAGGTTCCTTCGATTATTCCGCGACTTTTATCTCGGACATTTCTGAATGTCAGGGAATGAGTAGAACTTGGTTTATTACTGGCAGTTTAAATCTTGATGGATACGGAAAGTGGGATATTACACTGTGCAAACGCGTTTCACTGCACGCGGCAGCGAGGTATAGAATGCCGACGTTATACTATGTGATTTGTACCCGGACCTGAAATGAGCTCCCACATATTTTTGCCTTCGACCAGCGCGATTGTGGAAAGGTGTGTTGCAAGACTCATTCTTTCAGAGACAAACGTTTATTCGGCAAAGTCAACTTAACAAAAATTACAGCATGTTTGGCAAGCCAAACTCCCCGATATAAGTTTCACCTTCACATCCATAACTGACGACCTTACTGAATCGACGACGTTCCTCTCCTGACTCAGTTGAACAGTGCATAACACACGTGTCAGCCAATCCGTGTCCAGTAGTCGAATCCGTTACGTCCGTCTCCCATGCGCTGTCTGGCTCGCTCGGTTGGTCCATCTGTTTACTCTGATCTGGCCCTCAATACAGGTGTAAATGGGGTTCAGTAATCTTCTTGTGAGATACATTGTCTTCACTGAGGATCATATCAGTATATTGTTTCTCTCAAACACATCGAACAAATGCCTAATCTCCGATCACCATCTGACCGACATTGACAATTGTGTCGTCCGCCAAGATTTCTCTCCAGTTTTGCATTGTCTCACATGTGGTTTCCATCTAATAATTGCGCCCCTCATAAAGTGCCAACAAATGTGCTTGGCACTCTTCTAGGAAACCTATTCCGAGATATATACTGGATATCTAATTGACAACTGATAACTCTTGTTGGGTGTTCATTTGCTGGACAACTCGCTTGCAAAATTTGCAACATCAGTCGGGTATGGATCCATACCCGGATTTACTTTCCACTATTTTCTGTTACAAGGCCGCTTACTTCTACTTACTGATGTACCGTAGTAGTGTCTGTTGTTGTTGTTGTTGTTGTTGTTGTTGTTGTTGTTGTTGTTGTTGTTGTTGTTAATGATGCTAATAAAAAACGTTTGCAAACAAATTGTTCGGCTCGGCCAACACCGTATTTCGTTGATCTTAATCATGTGTCTTTACTCCGTCCAGCTTTTTTCTATCGCCTAGGTAAGATGAAGTGTCGTCGAACTGTCTACATTCGGAATTGTCACTGCGACGTAGCTAGTTTACAACCGGATTCTTGTTGCACGATTGCTTTTTTTGTCGTTCCTCGCGAACCTGCTTAAATTTCATCTTTTATCATTGTCTTGTAGTGATCTCCCACCGCTCATCCCCACTGACGACTCGGTCAAGTATCGCCAACCCAAAGCAGTGATTGGTGTCGGGCGTGTCCGACGCTGGCAGTGGACTCCCTTCACTAACCCTGCTCGTGAGGTCAGTTTTCCATAATCCACTTCTGGTTATTTCACTCACATCACACGCGTATCGTCGTCGCCATTGGTTGTTTAGTCTGTTCTTTCTCTTCCCTCTACCTTCCAGGATGGGTTGCTTCTTTACCACTGGCGTCGAGAAAAGCCAAGTTCGGAGCCAGAACAAGAGTATCCGTTTGCCCGATATAATAAGGTACGTTCCTACTTGGAGCGGTTCTTGATGACTTTGGCACATCACTTTTTAGTCGTATGTTGAACGCCACCTGCTCCACAAACCCCTTTTATTTTCGCCCATTTTACCTCATGCAATCTTTCAGCGCTGTTAACTCTACTGACCTCAGCTACACACAGCGTGCCGTTATTATCACTTCGGTCAGTGTCTGAGAAATGATTATCGTTATTTTCGGGGCTTTTGTCTCTTTTGCACATGCAGCGATACGTTCCAGAGCGGGATCGTCGCATTGTGAAATCTCGGTAGTCGATCGACCTAGTTTGGGACATGCTCCAGTGGCTCTGCGACATTAGCTTACAATCCGTTGACACATATCTACCAGGCAATTTTAGCTGTTTCCTGTCGTCACCACTACGTATCAGAAAATAGGGATGCTTCTAATTTTCATGCACTTTTTCTCATTCATGAGAGGACAATAACAATATCTATGCGAACAGCGCATCCACGTCACATCTGAGTGAAGTTCCGGTTGTTTCAGTCAACCAACCGCTATGCAAACAGTCTGACACGGCAAATCCTCGCTGCTCTGTGCCCATGGACTGGCAACCTCAATGGCTTGATGCTTTATCCTTGTGTACTACAGTCGGGAGGTCGGTGTTCCCGCATTTCTTCGCCTAAGTTCGGTTGTTCTAAATTTTTTCACTTTTCTCATTTTTACTTTTTTAACCCGACAATCCAACCTGCTATGACGACCACCTGTCTACGGCGACCAGCCAAAAACATCCCCAACATTTTCTCCTATGAGTAATCTCCCTATGCTTGAACCTGTTCATGATGACCACCTGTACAAGGCAACTGCATTTTGTCGGGTCCCTGCGTTGGCGCCTTAGACAGGTTTGACTGTATTATCACCACCCTAACACGCATCAATGAGGCCTGATCAATTACACTCCTGTAATTGTGTTTGAACGCACATCTGAGCGTCTCGCAGTCTGTTTGAAGTCGTGTAGTGTCCTTATGGGTCTATTACTACTTGTCATTTTTCTGGTTCCTCATTTTCGTGGTCATGTCATGTCAGTTTTGCCTGATTGACGCAGCTTGTCTTTCCTTTTTCTCACGTCTTGCTACCATCCTTCTTTTCTTTCTCTACTTTTGCTAATGTTGAACTTTAGTTCTCACTTTTCGGCTCTGAATGATCTAGCTGTGAGAAATCTAATTGTACCCGATTGCTGCGCATCCATCGTAGCTTCGTGACACAGCATTTCCCACATTGGAATGGTGATTCACGAAATTTACTTCACATTTGTTTCTCACCATGTGTGGTATCCACCTGTGATTGAGCACCTCTGCAGGTTATCCTTCCGTGTCAGATGTTAGCTGCCATGGGAACGCTTGCATCGATTCCTGCGCAATAGCTTCTGGGTATTCTTAACCGTTTTAATTACTTCTGGCTACTCTCTTAACTGTTAAATCAGCCATTTTGATAAGTCATTCTCACTTCGCACATGATTTCCTGCGTATTTTTTTGGTTACCTTCTCAGCAGTTTGTGCAATGTTGGCCGTCGCTCTGTCATTTTCCACTTCTCTGAGTGCACAATTATCGTGATGGGTGAGCTGCGCATCTATCCACTATCATCACAGCTCGATGGATTTATCCACTGCCCCATTAGTGCATACGCCTAGTTTCGAAGGAGCTGAGCGCTGCTGATGATTCCAATTTGGTCCAGGCATTCTTTCAGTAACTATTTAAAGAACTCTCCTGGATGAAGCGCAGCGCTGTGATTCCCCTTAAAGTGCTTTCAACTATCATTGTACTTACTGATCACGCGGCCGATCTACAGCTATCGGATGACTGGCGGTTTACTGAGAGGTTGTGGGGCTGGGAGCAACCCTCACCCCTTTATTAGCATGTGCTACTGTGGGGTTGAGCAGCGTCACATCGTGACTAGCAGCCGCTTATGGTTGATCATCCACCGTTACGCATGGCTCTTTTACTTAAGTCGCTGGCCTATAATGAATAAGCCCTGCAGCATTCGAGGGAGATGCGCCCGACTGACGGCAGTCGCAAGAGAAAGCGGCCGTCTGGTTCTCTTCTAGATGTTCTTACGTTCTTTCAACGCGGTTTTGCATAACGCGGACTTGTGCTACTTTGTTTTCTTTCGTGGTGCAAAAATCCCATTGGTCAGTCACCTTTTTTCCTTTCCCACTGGGTCCTTTTGATGTCATCATAGCACTTACGTCGAGTCGTATACGTTATCGACTGCCAGTCTTTTCTCGCCCCTATGCACTTCACTTTGGGCCCGCCCGCGATTTTTCATCACACGATTTACCTGTATTTCTCATACTTTTCTGGATTATTCTGGCGTATTTCCATCTTTACGCCCACTATTTTGCTTGTCTCCACAAGCAACGCATCGCATCATTTCTGTTGGCTCCTTTCTGCCACACTTTAACCGAAAATCTTTTGTTCACCTATGTGACACATCTGTGTCATTTGCCCCATTTATTTATGTAGCATGTGACCGTACCCGAGTACACATCTTCCGAATACGAATCGCTGCTGCAAGATCCCAAGTGGAGTGAGAGTAAAACTGCTCATTTGATGGATTTGGCTCGACGTTTTGATCTTCGCTTCATCCACATGCGAGACAGATGGGATAGCGAACGATTCCCTGGTCGTCCCTCAGTTGAGGACCTCAAGGAACGATACTATTTCATACTTGAGACGTTGGATAAGGCAAGTTTTTGAGTCTGACCTTTTTCATTGGCTTTCCGGTTAAACCTACCCACGAATACAGTTAAAATGAGTGTGAAGTGGAGGCACTTTTAGTATTACTTCCAGTATTTAATCTTACCATAGTTTTCCTTCCAATTTGGACTCTTCAGTTTTTAACGACTTGCCCACATGTGATGACCTCCGCCAAGTTGCCCAGCCTGCCAGCAACACATGTTGCCTTTGTTTAGAAGTTACCTCGGAGTGCTATAAACTCGGAGCCTGGTGTTACCAGCTGAATTTGTAACTAATTACTACGAGCGTTGCTTGCACAGCAGTTAGGCACTTAGTTTGGATAATATTAACGACAGATACAGCATCTTAGATTTGATTCTTCAGCTGTCGGAGTGAAGGCGCAATGCCACATGGTGATTGGATTTATCGTAGTTTACGCCGAATAGAATCACGGTCAAATATGGCAAGGGGAACTTTTGACGCAATCATTAGATAGCGCAACTAGTTTAGCGAATGGCGTTCACTTTCCTCTTGGCTTTCTTGCTTACTATAAAGTTTCCTTTTCGACCTTTCCACTTCCTTTGACGGGTTTTCTCAAGAACTTTCCACTTTTTCCCCTTTTGTGGGCACTATGCGGTTACTACTTTATGTTTTATTCTCTTCTATTGGAATATAATATATATATATATCGTGGCGAAATCTTGAAGGATCTTCGACCCGCTGCTCCTCACGTTGTGCCACGGGCTCAGGTCCTGGACGCGTCATCGTGTCGACCGCTGTGCGGGAGTTGGGTTGCGCCCTTCTAGCTAAGAGCCAGGACACCCAACTCCTCGTTTGTCGGTTCAATAACTCGGCGCACACTTTCTCGAAGGTTTTGGCTGAGGACCCGACTCGTTCTCCCGGTCAGGCATAGGCGCTCCGGCAGTACACCTGTCTAAAACCAAACTGTGAAATAATGGAACACTTGGAATCTACTTGGAACCGATCGAGAAGTCATGATTTGTGAGAGATTTTTGGATAATCAATTAAACTAACCCATTGTCCCTAGATCTCTCAGAAGTCAAACCAGAAAATACACCAATACTGATGTCATGCTGCATCGACCACTCCGCAGTGGTGGGAGAGCGAAATAGTCGCCTTATCTGCTGCATACAGCGGGGTGATTAAATGAAAACATACTACCGCTGACGCTTCCCTCCCTTCTTCTTTTGCACGTGCTCTTCCCATCCCCACTTCACCTAACCCACGATTTCCTCCAGTCCAAGTGACCACCCATGTGATTGTCCATCACTGTAATTCTATGCCTTCGCGCAAAGCACTCGACATCAGATGCTGGAACGTGCGCACACTACTCGACCGTAACACGAGTGAGCGTCCCGAGCGACGCACTGCACTGGTCGCAATGGAACTCGCGTGTTACATTATTGACAATACACACTAAGACTCGGCTCGTTGAGCAAAGGAAATTCCATGAAACTGGTCCTAGTTACACGTTCTACTTGACGGGGAACGCCAATTAGTACCACGTGAACATAGATCGGGTTTGCACTGTCCGACCGCCTAAATAGCCGGCTGTTTTGTCAGCCGACTGGCATCAGTGCGCAACCGATGACTGTTCGCCTACGACTCGGAAGAGATGTCAGCCACTTTTATAAGCATGTACAGCCCGACCATGTGTTATGCTGATGACACGCGTGATCAATTCTACACTCAGTTATCCTCCTTTATACAGTCTGTACCGAGGAACGATCGGCTGTTCTTACTGGGTGATTTCAACGCGCGCGTTGGATGTGTTGCAGCAGTGTGGAGAGACGTATGGTATTGGCACAGCCAATAGGAACGATGACCGGCTGCTCTCGGTGTGTGTCACTCACGGCCTGATGATCACAAACACACGGTTTGCACTGGGTGCGAGTGATGTAGTTACTTAGATGAGCGCACGCAGTAGTCACGCTCATGTGTTCCACTATCTCATCGTACGCCAACGTGGCATACGTGTACTGCGTGGAGTTGTGTTTGGCACTGATCACAAGTTGGTGCGGATCAACTTGTGTATATAATTTCGTATATCTGTGTATTGTTTACCTGCCGTGAAGCGGCGCAAATTTAAGGTTCTTTCCCTAGGTAACACGAAGAAACTGAAGAAGTCGATAACTACCCCTTTTTGCGATGTCGAATGCATAGCCTCTATGAGCGACCTGTTTCACCACATCTTTGAACAGGTGACGGCTGTTGACAAAATGTTCGGGTGTGCAAACTGTGAACAACCCGATTGGTTCGTTGACGGCAGTGCCGCCATTGGCGTATTGATGTCGGCGAATAATACAACGTTCGCTGCACATGTGGCGAGCCCTGCCAACTACGAGGAGTCATTTTCGCCACCTTCAACGGCGATTGTTTCGTGTGCTCCATCTCATCAAAAATACACGGTGGATGGAGAAGGCGAAGCAGGTGGAATGCTACGTCGAACGCCACCAGCATATGGAATTCTTTGACTCCTTAAAGGCAGTGTATGGACCAACGTTGCAGCCGCTGAGGACACTGCTCGATCCTATTTCAGTTGCTGCCTATTCACAGACTGCAGACATAATGCAGATCTGGCGAAAGTAGTGTTATTGTTTTTTGAACGATCGTTCAGAGATTAACTGATCTATGTTGCACTGGCCGCAACAACAAGACAAAGACGTGTCTTGTCGATGTACCGACACTGGATGAGACGCAGGATGCACTTGCTCAGTTGCGAAACGGCAAGTGTGCCGGTGCCGACGAGATACTGCCAAAGCTTTGAAACACAGGAGACCCGCATGGGTAAATGCGCTGCACCGCTTAGTACAGCGTCTGTGGATTGAAGAGGATGTGCCATCCGAGCCGAAGGATGCCCTTGTTCTGCCACTATATAAGGTCAAAGGATGCAAGCAATGTTTCCCGAATTTTCATGGCATCTGCTTGCCGATTTATGTGGGGAAATTGATCGCCCGAATCCTGCTCAATCGCCTCGTCACTCAGGTCCTTAACCCGCACTTAATGAAAGAGCATTGCGGATTCCGTTCGGGTTGCTACACCATCGATATGGTGTTCGCGGCTCCTCAGTTGCATAAGTGCAGACAGCGACTCCAGACGCTGTACTCGCTGTCTATTGATTTCACCAAGGAATTTGACACTGTGTACCACGAGGCGCTGTGGCTGGTGTTGGATAAATTTGGTTAGAAATCAAGACGCCTACACCTTGTCAACAACATATCGTCAAAACAGCTGATTATCGTGAAAAAACAAGGCGGCATCACCTAGACAGTTTGCTTGCGGATTTCGTTGCCCCATGTCATTATAAGCTACTACCCTGCACATAACTCAACACCAAGGACTCTTCAAACAGACAATCCGACTAGGAGGCGATAGCGGACATGCCACTGTTGTCGACCGCGAACCATGTCCTGCAACGTCTCAAAGCAAGCAGAAGACGTATTACGTGCGCTCAAGCACGGAAGGCGAGAAGACCGACGGCATGCAGTTTGATCGTCAGTGACTTCATTTCCCGCTGTCAAGTCAACTGTGTCAAGCTCGGGCCTTGCGTCACCCTACATCTGGCGAACAAAACAACGCCCTCCATGGTAAGTGGTGATCAGGTATACGTAGCGCGTGCCGAAGCCAACTCAACTTATTCAGTGCTATCTGTTATTCTAAAGAACTGGTACTCGCTTACGCACATCATCGTTGCGGACACGCTGGTGCCATCTGATACCAGTAATGATTTGCAGATAAAGTCTTGAAGCCGCCGCAGATCCTCATATAGAAGGGGCCAAGTTTCACTACCAAAGAGTAAGACAGCCCTCAGTGTGACCTGATATACGCGGCCTTTTAGACTTAGGGAAGAATACTTTCTAACGCTACAGATGAAGCAAATTCAAAAAGGCAGTTCTAGCCATTGTAATGAGTGATTTGACTTCAGTCGCCATGCGTTCGTCGTTGCCGGCCGTTGCTTATCTGCCGCGGATACAACGCTTTACACTAAAATTTTTGACACTTCGGTTACACTCCTTCAAGATCGCTAGCCCTGTGCTGCGTTGATTTTTCGAAAATGGACTTTAGATACCGTCGTGCTGCGAGAAGTTATCAAAAGTACTTTCGTTATTTTAAGGATGATCGTCCCAACCGACATACTTGGCTCTGACACTGAACCTTTAACAGGAAACAAATAATAATAATAATCTACTTTCTGGAAGGAAATTATTACCTTCATATATGGGACTGTTTATTCGGGTGACAACTATGCCATTATATCCATCTATACAATTTGCATTTTTAATGTGTTGATATTTTAGTCCATCCGCGGTAGTTATTGTAAAATGTTGAAAATGCACCCACTCGGATACATGAAGACTTTATTGACTTGACTTGACTTGAACCCGCCGATCGCTGTTACCTAACATTCGGAACCATTCCTGAGGGCGTCGAGTATCGTTGGGTGGTGACGACGTCGAATGAGGCAGGTATCGTGAAGGAATTGAGTGACTTCGGTACCTTGAGGCAACAGAATGTATTGTGGTTGCGAGGGCAATTGCTTTACTCCTTCGTAACTGGTTGCGACGTTGACCGCTTCCGCTAGCGAGTGCGGAGTTTTAACGGCGGAACTTGTACAGCTGCTCGTGATTCTTCTCGTCAACATGAACGGCAAAGGATTAGTTTTTCTAGTTCTGCTTGTGCTGCGTCCGGAAAACCTTTTGCATCCGTTTCCATAAGACTAGCAAAGTATCTTTTGAATGGTTTCTGAAGACAACTGTTAGCAAGTATAAATAGATTGGAGGAACACGGTCGATGGGGTTTTAACCGAGTAAAGAGTTCGTTGATGGGACCATATTTTTTTCCAGTGGGGCATCCGGCAAGCCAACAGTTAACGAGCAGCTTCACCACCGAGATAACTCACTATATATTTCCAGTGGTCACTGTGCGCAACGCCCGCTATTTAGCTTCGCATCCGAACTTCCCAAAGGTCCAATTTCTCACCGGGTGTA